AGCCAAGACCAAACCCAGAAGCTTACAGTCAGCCATCGTGATGAGCTTTGCTTATCTCGTCAAAGAGGAAAGATGGTGTGTTCTTGAGAGCTGCAGTAATTTATCTGCATGAAAGGAGTCAGGCAGGAAGTGGTTTTTAGGTGACTGTAATAATTAAAGGAGAAGTTGACTCCGTACTTACTTCACTTCATGGTTACTTAGAAAGCCTGAAAGCACTGAAAGTAGGTTGAACTATATAAAGAACAGCTTAGAGATAACCGCAGTCCAAACAGCAAATGCCACAAACGTTTGTAGCAATGGTTTGATGCTCACTTTACTTTTTCATTTCAAGCTATGCCTAGAAGAGAAGAGTAATGAAAAAGTAACAAAGAAAATAAAAATAAGACGTCTTACTTTGGCTTTTCTTTTATTCAATTTTTGATTTGAGGTTTTATCATTAAAGGATGATTGTGTGTCTTTAATAGGCTAATAATCAGACCCGGCACTAAATTATATTCTAAACTGGAAAAGAAGTGGCCTCATAGTGGTTCCTGTATTTTCCCCCACTTGCGAGGCTTTGCCTTGCAGATATTCTGTGTCATTGCTATTATTCGTATTATTATTATTACTACTTTTTAAATTTTCATTTAATTTAATTTGTACATAATATGAATTCCTAAAAATATTGTTAGTTAAAATAACTACAAACTAAGATATGATTAAAAGCCCAAAGCTAATTTTAGCAAGTTAAGTGTTGAATCAAGCCCTTCCCTTTCTGAATTACTTTGCAGGCTGTGTGTTTTTCTATATTTTTACTTTCCTCATTTGTTCTTTTCCAGTCATCACTGCCATCTGATTAAGTTGACATGTTCCTATAATTGCTTTCGTTTCCGTCGTTTAATCACCAATGGTTTTTGGTTCCATCTCCTTTGTATCACACATCAAAAGAAATTAAAATGACTGTGTGTTTGACTTTATTCAGGGTGATAAAATTTACCAGAACTGTAAAAAGTGTTGGACATTTGGACCCATTTTAAATTGAGTAGTTTTAACCAAAGATTTGAACCATTATTCTAACCCTATAAAACCTGAACCATGACATAATTGGTAGAATTTTTTAATGCTGAGTCTCTTCAACTTTGTGACAGAATTAAAAAAAAAGAAATTTCATAAATTGTATTAAGTTTGATAGATGCTGAACACGAAACAAAATGACTATTGAGTCTTTTTAACAAGTATGTTCTAATAAAACTTGGAAATAAGAGCTAAGTGTGGTAGCGTTGTCTTTCATCTTTCATCTCATTGTTGAATAAAAAAAAGTCTACAAAACTCATTAGTCTTTCAAAAAGGGAGAAGTCTATAAACACAGAGTTGTTCGCTCATTTTATTTCACCTTTTGACAAAACCCCCCACCATGATAAAAAACAACAACACATGAAATCACCTGCTTGTAAAAATGCTTGATAATTTTTGCTGCATATGCATTACAACAAACACAAAACAAATACAATCTGAAAACTATTCAGCTAGAAAATGCAGATCTGTGACATGATCATTAATATTGAACCAGTTAATTACAGAAAGACTAAAATTCATGTACTAAAAACAAACCAATAAAAACACAGAATATATTTTTAAACTGATTTCAATTTAATTCGCATCTAGTCCCATAAATATAAGAAATACTCCATAAACTGAAAACATGAATTACTTTTTACTCTGTTTATTATACTCTTGAAAAAAAGAGCAGCTATGCTAAGATTAAAAAAAGCAAACACATGATCTTACGTGCTTCTGATGTTTACCTTAATTTCATATTACATATACATTATAAGAAAGACACAAAAAACAGAAGAAAACTATTCAACAAAAAAAGAAAAACCAGTCAAAGATGAGGCCTAGACTTCTAGACTTTAATCACTGACTACACAGTCAGATTTCATGGCAGTTTCTAATGCACATCCTTTGAATTTCCTAAAGAGCCCAGAAAAAAAAAACTCAGTGAAATTAACCTATATAATATATATTACACAGCGTGAACAAAAAAGAAATGTGAACTAAATCTCTATCATGGTGTAAAATATATTAGAAAATGTATTGTAATTTGCTGTATTTGAATCTCTTTAAGCACACAAAGAGATTCAAACCACTGAACTGTGTTCCCTCAATATATTCTGGATGCAAGTAAAAAGTAAGAAGTAAAAAGTTCAGTAAAGTTAAACACTTGTACTGCAAACATTGCCGCTTATTTGAATCATGTTACTTTCCTAATTGACGGAAGTATGATGTGATTTCTGCTGCAATACAATTTTCCTAAAGAGTACAAATAAAATATCTAATTTGTTGTTTTACTCGGGAGAAAAACAGGAGATGAAACTTTTCTTGTTCTCATTAGTTTTGTATTTAAATGTAGGACTTAAACAGCACGATGGTTGTTGGAGTACCTAACCTCACAGTCGGTGTCATTCATACGAGGACGGGAGCTCCAGAGGAGGCCTCCTCCCAGGAACAGCAGTCCTGCAGAGCCCCAGCCGATGTAAAGCGATGATCCCAGCTCCCTCCTCTGAGAAGCGGACCTGAGTGGGTTGTAGAAATCCTTAATCATAGCGTGGGCTGTCCAAGTTACAGGGATTAGGAGCAAGACACCTGCAATGATGACGATAACCCCAGAAGCTATAGTCACATTGCTATTTTGTCTTTGATGCATCATACAGTTACTGCACCTGTACCCAACTACAGCAAACAGGATCCCAAAGAACCCTAACAGGATGGCGATGATGATGAGCGCTCTGGCAGCCTGCAAATCTTGAGATAAGGCCAACATCGAATCATAGACCTTACACTTCTTCTGGCCCGTACTCTGGACCACACAGCTCATCCACAAGCCCTCATGGATTGTCTGAGCTGTGACGATGTTGGTACCAATGAAGGCTGTCACTCTCCACATGGGGAGCACACAGGTGATGATGCTCCCCAAAAAGCCGATGATAGCCAAGACCAAACCCAGAAGCTTACAGTCAGCCATCGTGATGAGCTTTGCTTATCTCGTCAAAGAGGAAAGATGGTGTGTTCTTGAGAG